ACATATAGCAGGTGCACATTACTTACCTCATCACTCTTTACAGATGCAAACAAAAACTTGTCCTGCACACCAAAGGTAAACACATTTGTTTGCAGATCTTTATCATCTTTTAGCAAGCATAAACAAAAATAGTAAGATCATTATTGTAAAAATATGAAGTAAGTTACCTAATATATCAGATTATGTCTGATTTTATTTATTACATATTGTTCAATGTTTTCTTTTGGTTTAAAATAAGTTATAACTTCAAATACAATTTTAAACAGAAAAATTAAACATAATTCTTAAATTTTGGTAAATAAAATTATGAATTTAATCTGAAATATAAACATTTTATTTCTTTTAAAATTGTTAAAATTGCAAATTAATTAGTTTGTTACTAATATGTTATATGCGACAAAAAGCCATTATGACCATCCCACTATTACGCTTATTGAACATATACTCAGTTCCTTGTAAGCGTAATCCATAATTTTCCAGCACACGAGCACAAACAATTTTCAACACTTTAGAATCGAACCCCCCAGAATTTATTAGATGGCTGACGCCTTACCACTGCGCCACATACTTCCACTGCAACAATACTACACAATACTTACCCAGGTATTTTTTTTCTGCTGATACACGACCACGCTTTAAAACCAAATCAAAAGCGTTTTCTGAAATTGAAATGAAAATTTCCATTTTTAAAACTTCAAAGAAATGTGGTTAAATGAAATATAAAAACATATAATTGAAAATAAGTGTATAAAATATAAAACATTAATAACGAGAATTATGTCTTTTATTTTTCACCATTTTGAAGAAAATATAAAATGCACTTTTCTGTCACCTCACCCACCTCTCCTCCCCCTACTCAAAAAAAGAATTTTCTCATTTTCATAAGAGTACATGTACTATTGATCTCTCCCCCAGCATATGAATGACAAACCTAAGTACATACCATCTGCCATCATATTTCGATCTACAGCAAAATAAATATTAAAGTCATTTTGTGTCTTTTCCCCCCATCGGAAACTATGCACAAAATTCTTTATTCTGGTCCATGTCCTTCCAAAGTCTGTTGAAAGCCACAAAGAGTACTAAAAAGAAGATAAAACAAATTCATCAGCAAGAAAATGTTTGGAATCTAGATTTTTATTTGGATTATATACTGTATATATCGTATTTATTTGCATAAACGCCCCACTTTAAATAAACGCCTCCCTTGAATATAAGCGCCCCCCCCCCCTCTAGAGCCTCATTTAGACTAAAGCCTCAAGGCCAAGCTTGAAAGGTCACTGGCTGGGTATAAACATGGCTTAAAAAAATGATGTTCGCTGTTTGGAATAACCTTGGTTTTCAGCTTAAATCAATTAACAAATTTAAATAATAATAAATTACTATTAATATGGAGCTCTTGATTGTACTACGCAGGTAAAACATAATGACGTCACTAAGAAGGCATCATCTACGCATTTGAAAACTGAAGCCTGGTTCTCACGAGAGCCCTAGTATCCGGATCGGGAGCTAACCGTTAGCGTTAACCGTTAGCACCTGCGCGAGAACGCCCGATCGGTTAGCGCTAACCGTTAGCGGTATCCCGATACGCTAACGGTTAGCAAGCGCTATCGGTTAGCAAGTTAAGGGCGTTTCTATCATCAACCAATCACACGTACGCGTTTACAATTTCCAGTTTCTTATTGGCCAGTGATTCGATCATCATATTGTTGATATCCGGATCGGGATTTTCTCGCATGGACGCACGGCAGCTAACGGTTAGCAGGATCCGGATCCTGCTAACCGTTAGCTGCCGTGTGAGAACATAGCCATTAAATTCTTGTCGCCGTGTGGATTCTGGGACACAATTTGGTCGAATCTCAATTGCGCAGAGAACATACTGTAGGATAGTCAATCATGAGTGAATCCAGTCTAGCGTTGTGTTGCCTCGTAAATCGGAAGCGCCCTAATACCTACCTGATCACTAGCTGAATGTGCCAGGATGTAGTCACTGTTATAACGATGAAAAAACAAGGGTCCTTGAATATTAAATTGCAGATCTGATTTCACAAATGTTTCACCTGAATTTTCAGTAATGAACAGCAAACTATCAGTGAAGTCACCCTCAACGTAACCAACAAAAATCACCTACAAATCACAACATTGAACAAAAATATTATTCAACTTTATGTTATTATATTAATAATATGATTTATAAATAATTATAATACTTTAATTTAAATTAATAAATAAACCAAAATTTAGAAAGTTCGCACTCTCTAATTCAAGATCACCTTTGGGACCTGAAAATTTGAGTTGGGCGCTTGGTTTGATCTTCAATTAGAGGGTTAGCTTAGTGTTAATAGATTAAGATTGTCATTTGGTACTTTGAAAAAGTGGTCTCAAATTAGAAGGGTCTCGAATTGGAGGGATTGATCCTAGGGACTTGGGTTTGGAGTGTGTATCTTTATCAACAAACCACAATACCACACACAAGTCCTGTCCGCACTATCAAATTCAATGTTAAAAATTTGTGTGCTAAGCCATATATGGGCAAGATGATGTCATATTACACCCAAATATGTAGTAGCAGTAGTAGAATTGGTTAAATTCTTTGCTGCAAATTAGGCTAGCTCTATTGAACTAACCTTAGTGGACAACAAGGACTCCACCCAAATATTGGAATAACACAGTTGTTTGTAACACAACATTTAACAATGTGGACAAAGCGTAAGTGTAGAATTATAAATTTAAAAATTGCAAAAAAAAATTTAGAAAGCTCACACCATCCACTCTTTCAAAGTAAACATTAGATATTATACATTAATAATAATACTTAACAATACACTGCATTACCTTTCTAGGGTCAGGACTCTTATTGATGCCATAATCTTGCCGTATAATAGCTTTGTTGATTAAATCGTTTTTGTTTATAAATGTTCTTCCAAAGTCATTGCTAAAATGAAGAAAACAGTAATTATAAGTATACCACTTTTACAATATAGTTTTAAACTGTCCTTATCAAGTTCTCTATGACAAATATAGGTGATCACATCCCTGTATAGGCATGTTATATAAAACTAGATTGAACAGTGATTTCTATATATTTTTGATTCCCCAAAGGACGAAAAGATGTTTTCAATTCATCACTTAAGTGAAATAAGATTACACAACAGAAAATAAAATCATTAAATCAAAATATCAGAACATTATTATTATTATCCATTTTTATCAATAAGTATCATTTATTGTTTGTGTATCTATTTATTTATATACTTAATTGATAGTAATTGTTATTGTCATGATGGAAAATTAGACAATAACTGGATTTGCGTCAGGAGAAACATGCATAGGTGTAATTTTTGCCCTACCTGACGTGGAAATGTACCGAATACATTTGAAAACAACTGTGAAAAAAAATCGCAAGTTGTTCTCGGGTGGGACTCAAACCCACGATCTCCAGATCACTAGCCTGGCATCATACAGTACCTCTAGACCACCGAGCTTGCGCCTGATTGCCAGGGTTGAATTCAAGTCCAAGTACAGTAAGCAGCGGGTACTGCAGTGTTGATAGTAATTTTTATTGTCATGATGGAATAATAGACAATAACTGGATTTGCGTCAGGAGAAACATGTATAGGTGTAATTTTTGCCCTACCTTTATATACTTAAAGCCCCATTCCCGGCAAAATTTCAATTTTTAAGAAAAATCTAATTTTTGTA